CAGGGGTCTTGAACCTCCATCCTAAAGAGGCCAGGAAGGGTGGGAACAAGAGAATTTGGAACAACTTTCCAGCATTTGGAAAGTTGTGGGCACTTTGAGTCTCAGATGTCGTGTCTGTAAACTGGGCATCTGCCATCTGTCAGAGCTATTATGACGAAGAAGGACGGACTGGGCTCCACCTGGTAGGTGGGTCATGGGCACCAACATGCAGCCTCGCCAGTCTCACCCAAGCCTCTCTCTGCACCTCCCTAAACCCTCCCCAAATCTTTCAAGACCCACTTCAACTCCCCATGAACCCTCCCTAACCTACCTTCTTCTACCTCCACCCTTCCCCCACTCACTTAATGACTTTTCTCCTACACCCTCTAAGACAGGGATCCTCAACCTCAGCATTACTGACACTTGGGGTTGGATAATCCTTTGTGGTGGTAGGGCTGTGAGAGACTGAATTGTGTGCCTCCAAAAGATACGTTGAAGCCCTAGCCCTCCATACCTGTGAACATGACCTTGCTTGGAAATAGGTCACTGAAGATATTATCAGTTAACATGAGGTCATTCTGGAGAACAGTGGACCACTAAACCAGTAATAAAACCAGTTGCCATGGTGACTCTGTGCATCAGAGCAGAACTGTGTTCTTAAGTAGATCACTAGACCTTTCAGAAGTAGATCACTAGACCTACTTCCAAGGCACCTCTGGGGGGACTTGAACCAACCTTTGGCTGGCAGCTGAGTGTGTTAACTGTCTGCACCACCCAGGGACTCCTGATCCACTCCAGGTGTCCTTAGAAAGGAGGAGAGGAGACAAAGAGACCCAGAGTCCATGTGACCATGGACACAGGTGAGAACCACTGCCTCAGCATCCAGCACATGGTCATCCCCCTTCCCTGGGATGACTGTGTTGGAGACAGAATATCATGGGGTTGAGTGACCTGGCTCTTGACCCAGACGGCCCAGGCACATATCCCAGCTCTGCCACTAATTAGCTATGATCATCTTTCTGTGCCTCAGTTTCCTAACCTGTACAATGAGTATAAAAATACTTCTTATGCCACGAAGGGCTGTCATGAAGTTCCATGAATTAATTGGCGCATAGTTCTTAGAAGTCCCAAGAAAAGGGGGCCCAGTGTTTAATCAATGCTAGTCATCATTACTTTCATTTATTTCACTCCCCCTAGACTGAACTCCTTGGGGTAGAGAATTTTATTTGATGTATCTCCAGTTTGCACAGCCCTTCAGTGGCTCTCATGAGGGTGTGAAGGTGTTTACAAGTACCTTGCTTATTGGTGGGAAAGGGCATTTTGTGAACCTTGGCGCGTGTGAGATGTACCAAACATAGACGAGTCCATCTCCCTGCTCCTGGCCTGCCATTGCTGAGATATCACCGTAGCCCCAGGCCACCCTTCCCAAGCCAGGTTTAGACCCTGTCTCTCCCATCTCAAGACCACCTTCTTTTCTGCTATCAACCCAAGTCCCACTCATTTTTCAAGGCCCACCTTAAACATCTTCAAAAATCTCCCTCCTCTACGTGTTCAGAGCATATTCATCTCGGTGTCGCCACTGGGGCCCAGGGAACCCTTTCAACTACATAATTATCTTCTAAACAAGTAATGTCCTTCTAGCTTTCCCATAGTTAATCTCAGTGCCTAACAGGTGCCTGATTAAACAGGTTCCAATGAATATACATGTTCAAAGCAGATTCTCTAGTCTTATCTTTAATGTATATAAAGCAAGAGGTAGAAATTATTTTAAGTGTGAGATGGAACAAAAAGAAATTAAAGAGGACTATTTCTTTCTGGATGTGATTATCTTAGGAGGAATTAAGAATCTAATCCATTTCATTAAAATCAAAGAGAGGTACCCATCCCTGTGTCCTACACAGTCACCTTCACCTCCCACTCCACCACTTACAGGCCAAAGATGGTGGTTTTGTGATTTTTTTGTAGCTGAGAGTGACTATTATATGAATTCATATTCTCATCCTCACACCCACACTACACACACAGCACACACATAAACACACACCTTACACACAGAGCAAACCTACCTGCACATACCTTAGACACACTGAACATCTCTCACACACACATACACACCACATGCATGCACACACTCTTCACACATAAACACACACTACTCATATCTCACACACAAGACACACACAACTATGTTGTCAATAATAATCTTACAGGAAACCCAGGGGGACCAAGGAAAGCCATACAATCCCAGTCTGCCGATACCACCACAGTGCTTGATCCAGAGCTAGTGGAGTAGACAGACACTGCAGGGAGGAGGGGTATTCTCATTCAAACTGGCCATGCAACCAGCAAGTACCAATGTGTGCAAAGGACTATAAATGAATGCTTCGTTTCTAAAAGGAAATCTTAATCTTCCCTTCAAATATTCACATTTAATTTTCCTTTCAGGAGCTTCTCTCACCATTATGTAATAGCCCCAGCTCCAGTGAAACAAGAAGTAATTTTCTCTTGGTATAAAAGGCACATATATAACTACTATTCACAATAAACCTGTGAAAGCTGGAAACTGTGTAAGGTGGAAACCTGTCAGAAGGAAAGCTCAACTATATTCCAGTAACAGAGCACAAAAGACCAGTGGGCAGACTGCATGCTGTCAAAAGTGGAATATTTGTGAGACCCAACGCAGTCCGGTGGAGTTGTGCCCTCACAGGTTTCAGTGTGTTACCAAACCTTTTGTACCCACAAACAATTATGTTTTGAAAACAGATAGTGGTGATGATTGAAGAACATGATGAATGTAATTAAGGCCCCTGAAATATATACAGCTACTCCTCACTTATTGACTACATTACAATCCGATATTTGGCATTTATGACACTGGTCAAAAATCTACTATCGGACTATTTCAGACATTAACGATGCACGTCTGGCAATAATAAATGCCAAGGTGCTAGACAAGAGTAGCACTGGCTGTGATGGTTAAGGTGATGTGATGTGTCAACTTGACTGGGCCATGACTTCTAGTGGTTTGGCAGTTATGTAATGATGTTATTTGGCAGTTACGTAATGATGTAGTCATCCTCCATTTTGTGATCTGATGTGGTCATCCTCCATTTCTGCATAATGTTGATTTTCACTTAACAACCTGGTCTTTGGAACTCAACCATATTGATGAGAGTGGGTATACTTAAAAATGGATTAAATAGAAGGTTTTATGCTATATGTATTTTAGCACAATTTTTTTTTTTTAAAGGGAGTACATGGACTGTAACAGATTTTCCTTCTTCTGACAACTGGCCCATGTGGACAGCATTATGCAGGCTTTGGGGGAGACACACTCACCTGGATCAGTGTCATGGTCACTGTGAAGGAAAAAACGCTCTCGGATTTGAAGCATTTCTGTAATTTGTAACAGGGAGGGTAAATTGCCTCAAGAACATCTGACTGACTGTGTGTGATTATCTGGATTATCGTGCTGAGGAAAATTCTGTCAAGGCCGAGTCTGGGCTTAGTGGGAAAGAGCGCTGTGACTGATGAGTGATGTCTGCTATGGGCATTTTTAGGGGTTGAACTGTATCCCCTCAAAATTTATGTTAAAGTCCTAAACCCTAGTACCTGTGAACATGACCTTATTTGGAAATAGGGTCTCTGAGGATGTTATCAGTTAGGTAACATGAGGTCACACTGGAGGAAGCTGGATCCTAATCCAATCTGAATGGTGTCCTTATAAAAGAAGAGAAGACACAGGAAAGAGACAGACAGAGGGAAGATGGCCATGTTATGCTGCAGGTGCAAGCCAAGGAATACCTGGGGCTCCCAGAAGCCAGGAGACGGAAGAAGGGATCTTCCCTTAAAGAATATGGCCCTGCCAATACCTCAAATTCTGATTTCTAACCTCTAGAACTGTGTGACAATACATTTTTGTCATTTTTAGCCTACTTTGTCATACTTTGTTATGGCAGCCCTGTTGCTGTTGTTATGTGCCATGGAGTCGGACCTGACTCATAGCGACCCCTCCTTGGGTTTCCAAGACGGTATCACTAAGGAAGTAGATTGCCCCATCTCCCTTCTGAGGAGTGGCTGGTGGGTTTGAACCGCCAGCCTTGTGGTTAGCAGTCAAGTGCCTTAGGCACTACGCCACCAGACCTCCCATGGCAGCCCTAGGAAACTATATAGGTGTGGCATTAGAGGCTAGGGAACTCTGGGGGCATAGTGCCTAAGGCATTTGACTGCTCACCAGAAGGTTGGCAGTTCAAACCCACCAGCCATTCCCCAGAAGGAAGACTGGGCAATCTACTTCCGTAGTGATACTGCCTCAGAAACCCAAGGAGGAGTCGCTATGAGTTGGATCTTACTTGATGGCAGTGAGTTTGGTATGGTTTTGGTTATTAGAGGCTATGTCAGCCATATATACCCTCCTTGACATAAAAACAGGTTTGGGGAGGAATCTGTAAAGAGTAACTTGAGGGTAAGCTAAAAACAAGAAAACAAATATCAGTTGCCATTGGGCTAACTACAACCCATGATGACCCTATGTGTGTAGAACTGTGCTCCACAGGGTTTCCAACAGCCAAGCTGCCAGATGCAGGTCAGCAGGCTTTTCTTCCGAGGTGACTCTAACTCACTGCTGTGGAGTCGGATCCGACTCACAGCGACCCCACCTTGCGTTTCCGAGGTAGTATCACTACGGAAGTATTGCCCAACCTTCCTTCTGAAGAGTGGCTGATGGGTTTGAACTACCAGCTTTCTGGTTAGCAGTCAAGTGCCTTAGGTGCTACGCCACCACAGTCCCGAGGTGACTCTGGGTAGACTCAAACCACTAACCTTTCAGTTAGTAGCCAAATGCCTTTACTGTAGTACCACCCTGGGCTTGTGAGGGTAAACTGAGTGCAAAGTCCACAGCTTTGTGTACTGAGTCCTCCCGGATGCCTGACACCAGAACATGCTCATTCATATTAATAATCTTAATTGCAGTCACACTTTCCCTGTCCACTCCAGGTCTGATTTTTCCCATGACCAGGTACCTTAATAATGCTCTGGCAGGTGGACAGGGGCAGGCCCACCAGGCTGGTGCCATTAATGGACATGATCTGGTCCCCGATGTTCAGCTTCCCCGATTTCTCCGCGGGGCCTCCGTGCATCATGTTGGCTATGATCACTGTCGGCAGGATGGACCCCCAGCCGGACTCCACAATCACCACACCTAGGATCTCTCCTTTCTGCTTCTCTATGAAAACCTGAAAGGAGAAAAACAGGTAACTTGTGTCAGCAACCACTGAGGTAATGGCAGAAGCAAAGCATTTCTCCTCTCCTGTCTTTACTAAGAAAGACACTTTCATGGATGATTCCAACCCCACTGGATCCCTCTCTTCTCTGTAGTCCATGGCATCTGGCATTTGTACAGAATGATTTAACACAGCCTGTTAGGGACTGAATTGTGCCCTCCACCCAAATATGTGTTGGAATCCTAACATCTATTCTCATACATATAACTATGTTTGGAAATAGGGTTTTTGTTATGTTAATTAGGCCATATCATGGCAGGTGGTGGTGGGGGGCGGGGGAGCTCTGGTGGCGTGGGTGTGTCCCAAACCCAATCACCTAGGAGTTATAGAAAGAGCAGATTAGATACAGAAGAGAACATCTATAGAAGACAGACGCCACGTGAAGTTCATCTTCAAGCCAAAGAATGCCAAAGAACAAAGCAACACCCACAGCTACCAACCAGGAAAGAATCCACATGGCCAAGACCCTGACTTGAACCTTTAGCCTCCAGAACGTGAGAAAACAAATTTTGGTTCTTTAAAACCACTCATTTGGATGTTTGTGTTAAAAATAACTAAGACGCAGGCCTACACCCTTTCTCGCCCTTGTGTCATTTCCCATAGCAATCTTGCTCAGCAGTCCACCAGGCTTTCATTCTGTAGACCTCAGTAATGGCACCGCTGGTGGTGCACCGTGGTTTCAAGAAGCAGCTTTTGATTCCATGCACAGTTCCCCCATCTCACATTAATATATTGGTTAAAAAATTCTCATATTTAGCATTCTTGGGTTAAAAATGAATAAATACATGTTACAGCAATACTTCTCTGCAAGGAGAAAATTGAGGAAAAAGGGAAAAAAGAGGTGTTGAAGTTATCCCAATTGTAAATAGGTGAGAGTGTAGACAGGAGACCAAGTGCACAACTGTGGCGGCCTTCACTGCTTGGGCAGAGGAGATGGTTGGTTTTGGATACCCGCAACCTGGTGAGGTTTGCAGAGATGCCACAAGCCTGAGACACTTCATGAAAGCATCCAACAAAGAGCGAGTGTACGTGGGTGTTTATTCATTCACATTCATATATGCTGAAACATAAAGTGTAGTAGTTGCTGCTGCTGCCTGCTAAAATCCCCCTTGAAGGCTGGTAGCCCCACCCCTCTCAGCTATTGAAGCCCCTTTTCTGGAAAATTGCCTTTGACCAAATGGATGACTCTCCCTGCCTTGGCCAATGACTGGTCAATTAATCACTGGTCACTGGCTTGTCATGAAGATGTAATGCCTGTTCCTAATTATCTGAGTCTGGGACTCAATTTTATTTTTACATATAAACACAAAAACTTTTGGAGTGCATGGCTCTAGTTCACATTAAACCTTCCAAGAACACAGTGTAACTGGCCTGCCAGCTACCTCATCTCAGGTAGGACAATTCTATCCTGTTATCTGTGTCTGAGTCCCCTTGGATCAGACTGAAGCTCACCTCTAGCAAGACCGTGTTCCTCCTGAACATCCTCCACCATCTGCTTCCCTACTTCCTTTCTCCCGAGTGCCTCCTCTGAGTAAATCATTTGGATCATAACCCCTGTCTCAGGCTCTGCTTCTAGGGAGCCTGAGCCAAGACACCTCACAAATAGCGGCGAAAATGACCATGTTCTCATTAAAGGTTCTCTTTTACCTACTGGAGAAAGTCCAAACTCCTTGGCTGGACTTGGAAGCCCTCTGTTCTGACCAGAACCTCTGTGCTGGCCTCTCCATTTCCTTTCTTACATACCCCTCTGCTTAGCCGTGCTGCCCAACCAGGGTTCCCCGGACAAGTCCTGAGCTTTCTGACCTTCATGCTTCTGCACTGTTATGTCAGCCCTGCCCTCTCATGCCCTACCCTTTCCAAACACTACCCAGCCCTCCAGACCAGCTCAAAGGGCCCTGCCGTCCTCCAGGTACTCCAGGACAGCTCAGTTGAAGCAATCAGGCTGTCCCTGAAAAGTGCAGCATTTATTGTCTGAAACCCTCAATCGGTTCCAGGCTCCCAAGCACAGTTTTCTTTGACGGGTACTTGGACCTGGCACCACCATTTAACTTTTTCAGGACCCTTACCTCATACTGGAAGGGCAGAGTTCAGGTCCTATGCGCCTTTGGAACCCACCAGTGCTTAGTCCAAGAATCCAGGGAGCAGATGATGCTCTGCCTCACTCCTCACTGTCCATGCCCCCACACGCGGCAGGAGAGGGGAGCCAGAGACAGGTAGGAGCCCCTTACAGTGGCCTCCCAGCACTACACCCTTGACCTTCAGCTGCTCTGCCTTTCCCCCTGCAGCTCTCCCTGGGGCTCCTACCCAGCTGACCCAGCTTGGAGAACAGCTTCAGGAAAGTACCTACATCTTTGCAGTTTTCAGACTTGGAGAAGTGGATCAGGTCGTCGTTGTACATGTCCTGGGTATTGAGCAGGTCACTATACTCCTTCTGGCTGAGATCTTCGGGGTTAATCCCGTTGGCCCTGAGGAATTCCTGGTATGCCACACTAAATGCCTGCCCAATGGACTGTGCGATCAGTTGGGCCTGGAATAGCAGCCAGAGATGAAAAGATGGAGATCAGTAGGGCAGCGCTGTTGGTGGATGTCCTGGTGCCCTTTCCCCGCAGGACTAAGGGTTCCAGCAGGACTATGGAGCCCTAGATACAAGCTAGGCCAGTGGTTCCACAGGAGGGCACTGATGCCTGTCAGGGACCATTTTTTAAATTAGGGGCTGTTTTTGGTTACGACAGAAGTTACTGGCATTGAGTAGACAGAAGTCAGATGCTGAATATCCCACAATACAAAGGACAGTCCTACATGATGGCAAGTGGTTCTACCTCCTGCATAATTTTCAAATGTCCCATTGGCCAGTCATGTAGATGTAACACCCATCCCTAACTATGAGTCTAGGACTCAAGGAATCCCTGGATGGCACAAATGGTTAAGTGCATGGCTACTAACCAAAGGGCTGGTGGTTTGAATTCACCCAGAGGTGTCTAAGAAGGGAGGCCTGGCGCTTCACTTCTTAAAGGTCATAGTCATGAAACCCCTATGCAGTACAGTTCTTCTCTGCACCTGTGGAGTCACTGTGAGCCACAGTCAACTCGAAGGCAACTGGTAGTATTTTATGACCAAACTCTCATTTATACAGAACATACAGATTTTGAGTGGATAGCTTTAGTATACATTAAAAGTTCTAAGACTATAACTATGGTGCAAACTGAGGTAAGATGATCCTTTGTTTTATCTAGAACTTTACCAGGAGAAAGCTTTATGATGTTGGAAAATTATCAACACCAGTGCTGACTATGGTATGTGAGCTGCCAATAAATCTCATTGGTATCAGCCTGAACCTTTGCTATGACACAAGGTGACTCAGTGCATGCTTTTATATTTATTTAGTCCTCAACTCAAACAGAAAGTGTGGACAACACTCAGATGAATACCATGTTCTCTTATATTCTAACAAATTCATCAAGTAGATGCAAGCATCCGACTCTTCATTCTGTCTTCTGGTGTGGTCGGGCCCAAGCGTTTACATACTGTCGTGAATATGATTTTATTTTCACTAGTTTTCCTATTATATTTATGGCATTACTTGGATTACTTTGTCAAAAACATTTTCAAAAGGAGAAATTATATTATCTCTTATCATTTAATTTCCTGAATTTCTCTTTGGGAAAGTAAGGGAGTGTTGTACAATGCCCATTGTAAAAAGGGTATTGGCTCAAGGGCAACTCGGTCAAGTGGAATAACAGCTTATAAAGATAATGTTCTACACCCTAGGCTGTCTGAACACCATCTGGGGTCTTAGAAGTTTTTAAGGGGCCATTTAAGATACAACTGTTCATCTCTATGCATCTGGAACAAAAGAGAAAAGAAAGAAACCAAAGACTCAAGGAAGAAATTCTATAGGACTAACAGCCTACACAAACCACGGCCTCACCTATCTTGAGACTAGATGTTGCCCAGCTACCACAACAGGCACTTCTGACAAGGGACACGATAGAAGGCCCCAGAAAGAATGGAAAAAAAATGTAGAACAAAACTCAAATTTCTAAAAAAGCCCAGACTTACTGGACAGCAGAGACTGAAGGACCCCTCAAGACTATTGCCCCGGCAAACCCTTTAAAACTGGAACTCAAACTACTTCCAGAGGTGACCTATTAGCCAAAAGACAGAGTGGCTCATAAAATAAATAATATCACCCATGATTACTGTGCTCCTCTAGATTTAGATGATCTAAATGAAACCTAATGGTCAACATTTACACGAGACCAAAGATGAGATGGTAAGGGGGGACAAGGAAGTTAGATTAATGGAAACAGAACAACCAGAATGGAAATAAGAATGCTGACACATTGTGAAAAGTATAACCAATGTCATTGAACATGTACAGAAATTGTTAAATGAGAATTTAATTTGAATATAATTTTTTTTCAAAATCACAATAAAATATTAAAAAAAAAAAAACAAAAAACCAAAACCTGAGAGCCCCTGATCTAGTCCAATCCTGAATTTTCTAAGTAAGTAGACTGAGAACTTGCTCAAGATTATAGGGCACACAGATTGGAACTCCGCTTCCGATGATCTAGCCCCAGCATCAGTTAATCGACACTATAATCAGGAAAGCCAGCAGCAACTGAGGACTTCTCATGTGCCTACGCTACATTAAATACTTTACAAGGACCATTGCATTTAATCCTCACATCAATTCTATGACTGGCACAGGTCACAAGCCATCATCCAAAATTTATGAAGCCATGATTTGGAATCAGAAATTTTTGGATTTTAGAAAAGTAACAGGGCATATCCTACACATTATGAAATAACCCCTCCAGGCCCTGGATAAGTACTCCGTAAACAAACACAGTAATACTTCTGCAGCAAAATGTGTTAAGATTCATAATAAGCTGGAAAAATACTGTAAGTTTCCTCACTGAAGTTAAGATCAAGCTCTTCTGCCTACTGACTATAAAGAACCCCTTTTGTTGCTCAGAGCTTTTAGACTTTGCAACTGTGGATCTGTATCATTACCCCCATTGGACAGGTCAGGAAACCGAGATTGAGAAGTTAAATTGCTCACTCCCTGGGAAAAGGTGGGGTTAGGGAGTTGTTGATCCTGGTAGCCCAATTCCAGAACCCACCCTCGCAGCCACCACTCAGCTCTGAGTCGCTGGGAAATTCTAATGGGTAGAAAAACAAAACAAAACGGGAAAAACAAGATCAAACACTTCTGGGCACTGTTTTTAAAACACATCTAATTGTAACCTCCATTCATTCCTTCTCCTTTCCCTACCTTTCTAATCATATATATATATATATATATATACCTCATTAACAGTGATGCTAAATTTTCTGCATGGCTGGCCAGGGGAAAAGAAATGTTTCACTTTTCTCCCCCTGAGGGTCTGGCAACTTTACATGCCACATCTTACAAGTCACATAGAGAACCACCCTGTGTCCTACTGTAAAACTGGGAGATACTTAGGCTTCTGATATCAGAGAGTCACTTGTAAATAAACTGAAAGATGCATGCCTTGAACATGACCGGTGGACCACCAGACCATCTGACAGATACACCTGATGGAAGCTGTAGCAACTGAGATTAGTCCTTGAGTGGCACAAATGGTTAAGCACTTGACTACTAACCAATAGGTTGATGGTTCAAATCCAACCAGAGGCAACTTGGAAGCTGGTGATCTGCTTCTGCAAGGTCACAGCCATTGAAAAGCCTATGGAGCACAGTTCTACTTTGCACACATGGGCTCAGAATTGACTCCATGGCAACTGTTGTGGTTCGGTCTTGGCAGTTAGGCAGTGAGTCACACAGCAGCCCAGTGAGGGATGTACTATCATTTTATGTAAAAGGCAACTGAGGTTTAGCAACTACTCAGCTCAGGTGTGGTGGCGGCAGGTTCATTCCCAGCTCTCACCAGTTCCGGAGCTAATGCTCTTTGTCCATGCTCCAGTAGAAGCAAAGGGATAAGATTTCCAAGTCATGCTTATCCTAACTCTTGCCTCTCCATTCTTTCATCATCTTCACTGCCCGCCCCAAAGAAACTCCAAGGGAAGGAAACCTCTCCTTATGAGCTCCAAGCCAGTGACTGTCTTTTTTTGTTGTTGTTGTTTAATAATTTGTATTGTGATTTAGGTAAAAGTTTACAGAGCAAATTCATTTTCCATACAGCATTTCATACACCTTTTATCTCATGACATTGACTGCGAGTTCCCACAATGTAACAGCTCTCTTCCCACTTCTTCTCCATTGTTACCTCTTCCCTGTGTCCTTCCCTACCATCCACTCCTGCCCCCGAATGTTCTCCCTGTGCATACACCGCCCTTCTATTCTCCTGTGATTGATCTCTCCAAGGAGTGTATCTACCTGATGTAAATATTCAGCCCATATACCTATCTTTTATTTGGCTAGAAGCCACAGGAGTGAGTTCAATTCCAGACCTAAAGGGCAGCTAGGGGCCACAGTCTCAGGGGCAGTGGCTGAGTGTCTTACAGCGGCTTCCCACGCCTAAGCAGAAGCAGAGGTGAGCAGAGCTAATATCACCTTTTCACTGGTCTGCTGTAGGACACAGGTGCCTTAATAATCTATATTTTAACTCTTTTGGAATGTTCTGAGAGCCTTCTAAAATGCATGTTGTTCCAACCTGCTGGTTTGGCCATGGTTTTAAAGAATAACAAGGAAGAAGCTTTTCAAGCTGTCTTCTCAGCAACTTTGTCCCTGGGCAGCTTTCTCGAGAACCAGATAAGCAAAGGATTTTGTTGTTGTTGTTGTTGTTGTTATATGCCGTCGAGTCGGAAGCAAAAGGTTAGTGACAATAAACATAGCATCTCCTCCTCTCTGGGGTTGCAGCCATGTCAGCTTGGGTTTCCCAAAGAAAATCAGGCTGCTTTTGGCTCCTTACTCTGTAGAGGGAGGCAATTTACTGCAGCCACACAAACATTCCATTGGTGAAAAATGGCCATGTTTGAGGAGCCAAGGCTACCAAAGGCAGTTGTCTTTAAGAGAGTCTTTAAGAGATAAGAGCTCTCTGCTCAATATGACACACAGAGCCTATTGCAACTGTGAGAATGGTGAAAACAAGCAAGGCCAACAGTATGGATATGGTCCTCCTGGGGGCTCTGCAGGTCATGGCCACTGCAGGGCATGTCCCAAGACGGTGGGCACTTGGGTGATGCTTCTGGCGGTAACGCAGCTGGAAGCTGTGACCTGGCCAGCAGGTCCACCGTTAGCTGTGGGGACAACATGAAAAGAAGGCCTAACGGCAGACAAAAAAATTAGCTGAAAGCTCATTTTTTCCCTTGACTTCAGCACTTGCAGAAATTGTGCGGGTAGGGTGGGTGGGTAGGAATCACTGGTTTTGACAGGAGGAGGAGCTGGCCATTATAAGTAGCAAGGAGAACACAGGAAGGAGATTCCCTTCCTTAGCCCTTTCTCAGTCTTATTAACAAGGAGGAGGGCTGGCCTGCTTCTTCCATCTCACAATCATATTTGGACTCTTCACCCAGGTCTGTAAAGTCCTAACAGCACTTCTCACCTAGGGGGCATCTGGAAACACGCACGGGCAATTTGGGTTTTTATGATCACTGGGGGTGGGGGGGAGGGTAGGAGGGTGCTCCTGCCACTAGGAGGGTGGGGGCAGGGAAGCTAACTCTCCTGTAGCCCACAAGACAGTCCTACAAACCTGTGGGCTCGGGACCATAGTTGCAGGGGACATCAAGCTCAATTGGCATAACATACTACACAAAAATATTGTTCTACATTGTACTTTGGTGAGTAGTGACTGGGATCTTAAAAGCTTACAAGCAGTCATCTAGATGCAACAATGGGTCTCTCCTCATCCAGAGCAGAGAAGAAAGAAGAAAACCAAATATTCATGAAAACAATTAGCCCAAGAGACTGGCAGACCATGCGATCTGTAGCCTATATGACCATGAAACCAAAAGAAATTGATGATGTCTGGTTATCACTGTCAAGTACTCAGAGGGAAATCTGTGTAGGAGATTCTGGCTAAAGTGGGAGAACAATGTGGAACAAAACTCAAAATCACACACACACAAAAAAGACCAGGTTTGCTGTTCTGACAGAGCTTGATGAAACCACTGAGACTATGTCCCCTAGCTGCCCTTCAGGTCTGAAATTGAACCCACTCCTGTGGCTTCCGGCCAAACAAAAGACAGGCATGTGAGCTGAACATTTACATTAGGTAGATACACTCCTTGGAGAGATCAATCAAGGGAAAATAGAAGGGCTATGTATGCATAGGAAGACAGCTCAGGGGGCAGGGATGGATGGGAGGGAAGGACATAGGGAAGAGGTAACCATGGAGAAGAAGTGGGAAGGGAGCTGTTACACTGTGGTAAATTGTGGTCAATGTCATGAGACAAAGGGTGTGTGAGCTGCTGTATGGAAAGTGGATTTGCTCTGTAAACTTTCACCCAAATCACAATAAAAATTGAAAGGAAAAAAAAAAAGGTAGCATAGTACCTAAGGCACTTGTCTGCTAACCAGAAGGCTGGTGGTTCAAACCCACCAGCCACTCCTTGGAAGGAAGGTTGGGCAATCTACTTCTGTAGTGATACTGCCTCGGAAACCCAAGGAGGGGTGGCTATGAGTCAGATCCAACTCGATGGCAAACAGCAACAACAACAACAACAAAACAAAAAACTGTCTCCCCAAAATGCCTTCATGCTCAAACGGACCTGCTCAGGCCCCTGGGCATCTGACAGCATTCGTTTTCCCACTCTTCGCATTCTACACCTGCAGGCCTGCTGTTCTTGTCCATCCCATTAGCCTAACTGGCACATCCCTGCCAGCTACTCTTTTCTCACTCTCTTTATTCAAGTCTCCACTCAAATGTCACTTCCTCAGGAAAGACTGTTGACTATGCTACCTGAAATAGCCCCTATCCTTTATCCCCTGATCCTGTTTTAATTTTCCTTATAAAATACTACTTGCCGTTGAGTTGACTCTGACTCATGGCAATTCCATGTGTGTCAGGGCAGAACTGTGCACCAGAGGGTTTTCACGGACTGATTTTTTGGATGTAGATTTCCAGGTCTTTCTTCTGAGGCACCTCTGTGTGGGTTCAAACCTTCAATCCTTCATTTAGCAGCTGAGCACATTAACTATCTACACCACCCAGGGACTCCTTAAAGCACATACTACTACTACCTTATTTTATGTTGTGTATTTATTTATGTACTTATTTTCCACCTCCCTACAGACCTGATGATGGGTAACTAGCCTCTTTTACTCAGCTTTGTATCTCTAGCACTAGAACAGCACCTGACACACAGTAGGGGCATATTAATATATGTTCAACGTATGATTAATTAGGCTGCTTCAGATTCTGGGAAATAGAATCTGGCACCTAAGCACAGCCCAGGTTACCCAGAGGGCGAACAGGGCAAGCCACCCTTACATCCTCCGACTCAAAGACATGGCAGATCATCTTGTACTGCCTTTTTCCATCCTGGGAAGGGTGGGAGGCTTCCACATTCTCCTGGGAGTTGGAGCGGGGCATCCGCCTGCGGGCCATGAGCACAACGATGTTCCCGATGTCAGCGATGTAGGAGATGGTCCTCAGGGGGTGGTCCATCATTGTCTCCTGCAGGGTGGGAGGGAGAGAGCACTTTAAGTCTAGTACAGTAGTAGTGACCCAGAAGAGAGTCAGCCACCCCGCAGGCCAGGCAGGGACAGTCCGTATGCAGGGTGGGCCTGGGGGCTCACGGAAAGGGCTTGTTGGCCGATTCATGTACACTCCACCCTACCTGAGGGCCTTCTCCTCAGCTAATAACCACGGTAGAAAATTTGTGGCAGGTGAAATTGAAGAAATTTCAATCATTTATAACCAACAGATACCTCTGCTGGGGACATTAAAAAAAATAATAAAAAGATCTACATGGGGTGGTTGTCATTTTTTTTTTTCTCTCTCTCTCTCACGCATGTATGAAAATTCTTAAAAGGCTAACCTGGTTCAAACTGAAGAATCCTCTGACAAGAATTTGTAAGAATTGTTAACATACAACATCCATATTTTAGTTTTCCTCTGATCTTTAATAGTCCAAGGCCCAACTCAGTAGTAGGCACTGTAAAGCCACCACCTTCCAGCTTGTATGGTGCCCAGTGTCTGGGCACAGCTACTCCATAAACATGGGCAATGTCTCTGAGCCACCAAGCTGCTAACTAACCTTCATCCCCCTGGGAAAGGAGGGGCTGACTCATACCTGCGTATCGGCATTCAAGACTTTGATTCTCTGGGTAGAAATGAAGAGATCCACCTCTGTCATGGGCTGAGATTCGCCTTCAGGAGCCTGAGAGGAAAAATGCCCCAAGAGGAGGTTTTAATAAATGACTTCAACCCAGATGCCAGGGAGAGGTTAGCTCACACACAGAGGCACCAAGACACAGTGACCAGAACAGCAATGCAGACTCCAGAGCTAGGTTCCCAAAGCTGAGGGCCCCACATGGAAGATGGACACACGGATGTGAGTTGGCATCTCTAGGTTACAGGAAAAATGCAAAACATCCTTTGTTTTTTCCCCTAAAGAAGCAGTAACTCACTGAAGCGGACTTCACTCTTGGAATACTGATTTTTCCGTGAAGGTTTCATAGCCCAGCAGGGAAGGAAAAACTCAGACCTAAGGGTCTTGGAAAAGTCAGTATGTCGCTGCTTGAACTGAGGGGGCCAATGTTCATAGCAGGTACAAACTAAGCCACTGGGGTGCTGTTCTGGTAAGAGGGTCTTCATGTTCTCATACTACCCCCGCAGCCATAGAAGCAGTAACCCACTCCAGAAACCATCCCATAAGAAAGAGCCCCAAAGGCCTCAACGTATCATGAGTAGTTTATAAGCACCTAGAAGCTCCACAACCAAAAAGCACATCAGTTTGTTTAATTCAGGACTTAACTCTGCACATGTGTGGTTATTAGCGAGTTTTCTTTTTTGCATCCAGCAATCTGACAAATCCACAAATCAAACCTAACTATAATTGAACAGACCCAAGTCCCTGCCACATCAATCCTCCTGAAAGGGTGAAATGTTCACACTCTGAGATGTTTCATTTAGCATCTCCAATCTGTTCCTTGTCGTTACCCTGACGTGAAATGACTAATGAGCAAAAGAAAATGGCCACTTTAGGCAACTGATTTTGGAGAAACGCTGGCTTATGGGGTGGTTCACAAAGAAAATCTGAACAAAAAACTTGCTGGATGCAGAAAACAAAAACACGAAATAATAAAAAGGCAAAACGTAAATAAATGAAAATAACAGGCATAACACCAAGCTGATGACGTTGTTTGTACTGCACCTTCTTCCTGCTTTTGGCTAATTTCTGGGCCATCTGCTTAGCATGGAACAAACAGAGACAGGAGAAGAGTTAGAAAAGAATCTGCAGAGACTCAAAGTCAAAAAGGGTTGGCAGAAAGCATTTCTGTGGGAGGAGAACTGGTGTGAACAAAATCCCACTCTAAAGGCAATCAATCTCCTCATTCGGAAATTAGTCGGTGGCAGGGCAGTGGGAAGAAGGAAGCAAAAATTTCCAGGTTCTGCTTCTTAAACTTAACTGCAATCGATGTTTTCAAGGAACCAGCTTCTCAGTTTAATTGCTTTTATTGTGTGCCTGTTTTCTATTTCATTGATTTCTGCCTCTACCTTTACTATTTCCTTATTTTTTCTCTTTCAGTTTAATTTGTTGATCTCTTTGTATCTTCTTAGGATGAGAACTTAAATGACAGATTCTCAAACTTTTTTCTTTTCTCATATTTTTACTTAAAGCAATGGCTTTCCCTCTAAGCACTGCTTTAGTTTCATCCCACAAATTTTGATATATTGCATTTTAATTATTGTTCCATTCAAAACATTTTCTAATATCCACTGTAATCTCTTCTTTGCCTTTTGGATAACTTAGAATTGTGTTATTAATTTCAACATATTTGTGATTTTCTAGTTATCTTTTTGTTACCGATTTCTAAATTTATTCCAATGAGGTCAGAGAAGATACTCTGTATGATTCAATCATTTGAAATTTGCTGTCTTAGCTGTTTGGCCCAACACATGGTCAACTTTGGTGAATGTTTCATGTGGACTTCAAGAGAATATGCATTCCATAGTTGTTGGGGATAATGTTCTACAGATGTAAGTCAGTTAAAGTGGTTAACAGAACTGTTCAAACACACTATGCCCTTGATGCTATTTTCTGTCTGCTTGTATGGCAGTGAGTGAATGAGTGAGCGTATCATTCATTAAGAGGAATGTGTTAAAAATATCCAGCTATAACTGTGGACTTGTCCATGTCTCCTTTTGGTTCTGTCCACTAAATTTTTGCTTTCTATATTTTATAGCTATGTTATTAGGTACATACACATTTAGGATAGTGTCTTCCTGTTGAATGGACTCTTTCAATTTTATGAAATGTCCCTCTTTATCTCTAGTAATACTTCTTGCCTTAAACTTATATAATATTATTATGGCTTATGCTTACCTAGAAATGAATGTAATATTTCTTCCTTCTATTTATAAGTAAGAGAGAACATAATTGATAAAAGAAGAGACTCTGTAGTCAGATTGTCTAAAAATTCTGGCTCTGCCACCTACTAGTTGTGTGACTTTAAGCAAGCCACTTAATGTCTCTGTGCCTCGTTTCCTCATCCATAAAGTGGAGATAAAAATAGTATTAACCTCTTGAGGCTGTTTTAAGGATAAAATGAATAGATGCGAAGCACTTAGAAGAGTACCTGATGCATCCCAAGCACTGTATTTGTGCTTGCTACTACATTATCATTCATCTATGCCAGGATGCAATGTCTTGGCCTCGGTAAGGTTTGCTATACATACAGATCCTGTGTGAATGATGGTGTGTGAATGGCTGAACCATAGACAGTGCTGTGGTGATGGGTGAGGGATGGAGGAAGGACTCTCTCACATTACTTGGTACTCACCTGACAGAAAAACTCTTTTGGTCTCAGCAGTATGTCTCTGTTTCATTAGTGACTACAGTGAGTTGCCTGTACTACCTCATTATGGAGAAACCAGATGAGTCAGTTGTCTAAACACCAAGTAGCTAATCTCTGGGACACCCAGAAAACTAGGGCAACCTCACTCCCAAACACCCACCCCACAGCTCACACTGTTTGGTCATGAGTACAAATGTTATTCTAACAGCTGTGTATTACAGTGGAAATATTTTAGTATCTAAGGGTGGTGGCCCTATGTTGATGCTACACCACATCACCATACAGGAATCTGAGAGTCCTGCTGGGAGATGACCCAACCTACTTCAGTTATAAACTCATGACAGACAACTGTTCTGAGGCCTTAATGTTTCTTTCTTTTCTACGCCTTCCCTGAAAAGATATGACTGTAATATAGGCATTTTTGTACTTTTTGATACCAAAACTAAAGAGTGGATAGTCAAAATTCTTCAACTCTCTGGTAACTGGGATCTGAAAGGACCCTTTCAAATTCTAATATGCCAGCCACCAATGGAATGCCCAGATTGTATTTTTCACTGAAACAGGTGATGAGGAAGTGGATCCAAAAGGCAACCGAAGTGTCATGAAAGGTATTCTGAAATAATTTTTATGAAGTTGAAAATATTTTATGCACTCAGAGTAATATACCAGCACTTTTCTAATAGTAATACCATCACTTTCAATTACTTATGGCCTCCAAGTGCCCTAGAACAAATTGCAACTAAAAATTGAGATATAGCACTGGAAATGATAAGGGCAGCCTGGAGCCGGAATGAGAACCTGGAGCAGCAGAAAGAGGTCCATGAGAAACATAAGGCCAGCATGCATCACAAAGCCAGGAATGACAACATCCATTTAAATTGGTGTGGTTCACAGGATTGATTATGGCTTATCACCCAGCGGGGTGTGCTGCAAAGGGCAGACACTGTGCACCGTCCATCCTGTCACTCAATCCACAAATGTGCATTGAGCGTTTACCGTGGTTAAGACACTTTAGATTAGTCATGTCGGGGCTCTTCTCAACTGTTCTCTTTGTTTAGCTGACATTTAGTGACATTACACTTACTATGTGCTAGTATCCTTTAGAGCGTTTCACCTGTATCAATGTAAAAGCCTTACAACAACCCTGTGAGGTAGGCACTACATTATCCTCATATTTCAGGTGAGGAAACTGAGGCACACAGAGGTTAAGTAACTTGCCCAACATCACACAGCTGTTAGTGGCAGAAGAGAGATTCAAACCCAGGCAATGTGACTCAACACACCAAACCACTAATTGTGTTAACTGGGACAAGTTTCTTTCCTATAAACATCTCAATTTGTCTATAAAATGGGGTTAATAAAATCAACCTCACAGGATACTCTCCCCCTTCTGAGAAGTAAATAAAACAATGCACACAAAACGTTTGATACAAACAGCTGTCTCCTTACTGACTGTGGACTTCGTCAAGCTAGGTAGGAAATGGTAAGACTTAGAAAAAGCTACAGAATCAGAACCAAATCCACTGCAGTTGACTCAATTCTGACTCACAGTGACCCTAAAGAACAGGGCAGAACTGCTCCTGAGGGTTTCCAAGGCTGTAATCTTTATGGAAGTAGATAGATACATCTTTCTCCCATGGAGCACCTGGTGGGTTTGAACTGCCAACCTTTTGGTTAGCAGCCAAGCACTTAACTACTGTGTCATCAGGCCTCCTTAGCAAAGTTACAATGATAGAAAATTTAATTCTACAATGAAATCATAGTTTTTGAAAATTAAAGGAGATTTTAAAAGGATGGAAAATTTGATCTTTTGGGACAGATAGTAAAGACAGACATAATAAGTATTTGATAATGAATGCTCTTTACACACATGGACAGATGAACAAATATCTAGGCATCATGGTAATCTAACTGCATAAGTTTCATAAATGTAGGAAGAATGGTGACATACACACCACACTCAGTGTAGACATGACCCCAGCTCCATGGCTCAGGCAGGGTCCAGCAAGCCACTCTGTCTTCTGACTGAAGAGCAGAGAATAAAGTAGAAAAGAGGGTGAAATGTGAGAATGGAGATGTAGTGGACAGAAGACAAGTGAACAGACTGTATTGGCCTAAATTTTGGTTCTCTCTCAGTTCTATTATGTAACATATGGGTCACCATGAGTTGGAATCAACTTGAGGGCAGTGGATTTGGTTTTGGTTTTAGACAAAGGTTAGGTCTAATTCCCACCCTTTTCAGGTAAGAAGGGTGTCTCTACCAAGGTCAAGATTAAGTACTGACAATACTCAGGGCAAAGCTCTCTCTAGATGTTTTTCCCAAAACATGTTCTGGGGAATACTAAGCAACAGGATGTTAATACGTATCATGTAATAATATATTCTGTGTATAATTATAGGAGCTGTTGGTTAAATGGAATTAAGGAAGACTCCTTAGTGTAGGACTTCTCAGAACCTTTAACAGGAAAACAGGTGGCAAATGTCCTAACAGAGATGTGTTTTGCAGTGTTTCTTTAGCTTACTTGCCAATGGAATCCATTGGTGACAAGCACACTGATTGGCTGGAAAGCTGCAGGGCACAGGCAGAGAAAGGATGCTCCCTAATGCTGGCAGCCCACTCTCCCACAAGGCAACGGCTCTCAAGCTACAGCGTGCAGCAGCATCCCCTGGAAGGCTTGTTAATATAAAGATTCCTGGGCTCCACCCTTGAGTTTCTGACTTGGTGAGTCTGGGATGGGGCCCGATAATCTGCATTCCTCACAAGTTCCCAGATGATGCCAAAGGTGCAGGTCTGGGGACCACATTTTGAGAATCATTGCTAATGCACTTTTAAGCTACACGGAGGCTTCCTGGAATGACCTTGTTTCTTCTGAAAAATGCTGAACAATGAGGGAAGAAAGAGTGCCCAAATTTAAGGGAGGGGAGGAGGGAAAATGTCCCTCTAATTCTGCTTATTTCTTATAAAAGGAAAAGCCTTTTAATTTCTGATTCCTTCATTTGCCTTGAACTCTTGTTATCTAAACACCCTTCTCAACTCCTTTATCAGACTGCAAGTTTCTGAAGGTCAAGGATGGTGTCTTTGTTCATTTTTATCTCCTAAAATGCCTATCACAGGAGTCTGTATATGGATGGTTTATTTATTTTTTATTTTTTGGGCCAAATTCCTTTGCTTTCTTTTTATACTAAGCAGAAAACACCTGATCAAGCCATTTGGTAACTGAATTTGTAAATTCTTTGCTAAATTATGAAAACATTAATTCTTAAAACAACAAGTACCCATTCAATAAGCAGTATTAAATTCTGGTATACAGTCAGTGCTAGGTGAGAGTGACAGACAAAACAATCAACAAATAACAGAAAGTCAAGACTGCTTTGAAACAGAAATCTA